TGTCTTTGTAGACATTTTCACACTGACTCTGGGCATGAGACTAACCTGAATCAATCATCAGCAATGTACATAAGAAGTCTTGAAGAAACATCTGTTATTTCTACCTTGAAATCCTCTTGCCTGAAGGAACATGTAAATTGTCTGATAGAGAAGACAGAGGGGCAAAGCCAGTTGCCACAACCAATGACACTGTAAATTCAGTACCAGCCAGAAAGCTACTGGGTATAGATCAGCCTCAGCTGTGATGAACAAGAGGAACAGAACAACCCAGACAGTCTGCAGATTTATGAAGACTAATCCGTGGTCAGCGTTTTCAGTGGGTAAGGTTTCTGAAGAAATAAACACTGGGAATAGTTAACTGCTGTTTCTCCTTGGAGACTTCCACGTTTATTTTACTATATGTTCCTTATCGTAGAACATTTCAAAGTTTGTCTTCACAGATCATACCAGAGGGATAGTAAAAATTATAGTAATTCAAGTCCCCCAAGGACACTGGCTTCAGAGATACAGCAAAAGGGGGGGAGGGGACATTCAAGATATGATGTTGGAGCGTTTTGAAAAGGGGGAAACGAGACCAATAGTGTATGTTTAAAATCCCAGTCACTTGGAAGGACAATGCTATTTATAACGTATCAATGCCACTCTGGAAGAGTGAATTTAGGGGAAGATAGTTTAACTTGGAACAGTAAAGCCGAGTATTGAACTATTTCCAGGAAGTGAGAGCTAATAGACAGACAACAGAAAAGAACCATTCCACACAGAGGGTGGGATGGTACTGTCCATTCTACAGCGTGAGTAATTGACTAGGGAAAGTAAATCTGCCTAAGGGATGCCTCAGTGATGAAACTGTGAGACCACATACTGGGAGGCTGGGGATGAGAGGGTGCCTTCTCAAGGCTGAGGCTGGAGTTGAACTGTATCTCAAATGTTCATTCTCTGGTCACCTCATCATACTCCTCAGAAGACACTGAGCCATGAATTGGACATTGACTCACTGGAGGGCAGCTAATCAAGCTGGCAGCCTAAATGAAATCGTGTTTCTTGAAGAGCAGATGCAAAAGTCAGACTTATGGACTTGAGGAAAGATGTAGTTGGTGTGGAAAAAAGGCCAAGAGTGGCTTTTGCGTATTGAGAGGGGTTTATATGTGGAAAAGATGGCAGGCAGAAATTTACTGATGCTCCTTGACACTGTGGCCCCTTTCCCTGAGAAATGTTAAATAGAAATAGTGTGGACACCTGCCAAGATGGTGCTGATGACCATGAGTAGAGTGAAGGGATTAATTAGAATATCCTCAAGCTTTCTTCCAAATATGTGGTCTTACAGGCTACATTTTTGTTTTTCAGTTCCTTTCTCTATGGTTTTGGCTCTACAGTCAGCTGATCTGTTACCCTTATTCACCAAGACAGTGAAAAGGTGCCTTCATATTAGTTCTGACAGTCAGGTTGCTATTAATGTAACAAAATACCTGAGTTAATAGACTTATAAAAAAGAATAGGTTATCTTGGGTCACAGTTTTTGAAGTTTTCCTCTGTCTCACGGGGGTAATTTAGGGGAGGCATTTGGCAAGATAGGCAATGTATGGTACAGCAAGACTCTGCACTTCGTAGCTAAGAAGTGAAGTGAGAGACAAAGGTCTTGGATCCCACAGTTTCCTGGGGGAAGGAGGCAGGGGGACATGCCATCAAAATCCTAAAGCTCTCTTACGAGGCTCCATCGATAAAGGTCGGACAAAAGTAGCAAATGAGTCTTTTCGGGTCACTCCAGACTTAAACCACAGCACTCACCAAGATCAAATCCACGAAAGGAGGGTGGAGTCTGCAAACCCAGAAATGACTGTGGCCCCTTCTGTGGGCCTGGGTACGGAAGAGCGGAGAGCATTATGTCGTCAAAGAGCAGAGAGCATTATGTCGTGGGCCTCTGGTATGGGGGAGGGGCCACACCTCCTGAGCATCTTTGCCTGACACTGGGACTGGTCTTTCTCTGGAACTGTAAACACAGATGGTATAGTTCATCTCCGATTTCCAAACATAACAACGCCTTCCCATGGGAAGACGGCACTCCCTGATAAGATCTGTACCTCCTCGGCAGAGATTTATCAGGAAATCCAGGTGACGCCATTGGGTTTCAAGATATAATTTGATTCAGAAATCCTGGCTGTAGTCTGTAAGGCTGCTTTGTCCAGCGCCCCTTACCAGCAGGAAGTAGTTTGGAAAGAACAACGCCCAAATTCCCAAATATTGTCTATAAATGTTTGTTTTATTTAAATGGACTTTGTTATATAAAATAAATTTTAAAAAAAGATATAATTTGAAACTTGGCTGGCTGCAGCATGCAAGCCAGGGTTAATCAAAGTTAACCATGAGAGTGCAAAGCCTAACACATGAAAAAGTTCTGAAGGTCATAATCACAGTCAGAGAAGGGCAGGCATGCTTTCTGAGCAAAAACAAGCCGCTATGTTTTAGAAAAGCTTTCAGAAGAAACCAGAACTTATCACAAATGTCTGCCCAGCAATCAGGCCAAGGGAATGGATGGCCTAGAAAGGTTCTCTTTGCTTGCTCTTTTGAGCAACATACCAGTATTTGAATGGATTTGTCAAACCAGACACTCTAAATGCAAATCCTTACCTCTGTGACCATAAGTTAGTCGCTTACCCTCTCTGTGCTTCAAGCTGTCCAACCACAGAAAGATTGAATAACTATTTGCCTCACAGGACTGCTGAAGGGATAAAATGAATTAATGAAATTATAACGATAGATAGATAGATAATAGGCATAATAAATGAATAGACATAATATATAATTGATATATACTAGATGATAGATTAGACAAGAAAAAACTTTTGGGAAAAGATGCATATTTATTGTTTGTTGTATAGATTGTGTTGATGGTTTTATAGTTATGTATCTTCCTCCAGCCTCATCAAAATGTATATATTAAATATATCTAGAATTCTGATAACTACATTTAGATCAAAGGGCTTACTTCTTGAACATCAAATCCTTTCCATACATTTTGTCTGGGTCATGTTTTAATCTAGCAATCTAGACACTTAAACAGAACTCTATAAACAAAACTGGCAAATCCTTCAATACCCCTCCCTCTTTCTCCCTCACTATCTCTGTGTATCTCTGTCTAGCTCTCTCTCTCTCTCTCACACACACACACAAACACCATACAAAATGTACATCAGCACCATAAAAACTCTCATTCACAAAAGGGTGAAATCAGAGGCAGCTATTAACTGACGCTTAGTCTACCCAGGTAGCTAGTATGGACCCTGCCCCTTCACAGACAAAATGAGCACCTTGGTGTGCCCACTGGGAACTGATGGTCTTTGCTCTCTGTTGCTATCATTGCTTCCTCCTGAAAGCTGCCCAATTCCAGTTGTCTATTGGCCAGAGTGGTGAGTATTGGGGAGTGTGCCTTCACAAATGCCTGCATTTCACAACTTGCCAGTAGAAGTTGTTTTTGCCCTTGAAAGACATCCCTTTCCTCCAGAGCTCTGAGGTTATTTACCAAACATTGTCTTCCAAGTTACTGTTGTTGTCAAGATCACCAAAGGTTTTGCCACTTCAGGACATGGATTGTTGCTTTTCTGACCCTGCATCCAGTCCCTCACATTTATCTATTGCCATCAAATGATAGAGCAGCATTCATCTCTATCATCAGCTTGGGCACTGGTCAGGATGGTCATGCTAGCTTCAGTGGTAAACATCATAAGAGGACTTACTAAATTCCTCATGCATAGAAAGGCACCTGAATAATATTTATCAAATAAATGTTTTATGGTAAGCACATATGCATTGTTTTGAAACATTTGTATTTACACTTTCATATTCACACTTTTTGAACATTTGGCAACATTCAGGATTACAGGAAATGTGAGTTCAGTTCCCCCCCCCCCCACACTATGTGTCATGCCTGAAGACCACGCCTCAGCAGAAACCCAAGCAAAGGTGGCCCCATCATTCCTCTGATTCTCGGCACAGAAAACTCACAGCTTTGTAGGCTTAGGTCATTTCTGTTTGTACTTATTATTTATATACTATAAAATACTTAAATGCTATCTATTGTGTAGCCATTACTTGAATGAACTCTAAATCCAAGGGAGGGGTTGATAGCCTTTAAAATAAGGAAGTCCTTATTTAATTTTTTGACTAATTCTGTGCAGCTAGCATACATAATATATTGTGTCCATGTTGATATTTCTGGTCATTCTTGAATGGCTTATTTGTCTAAGTAATGCTTTCTATTCGTTGAGGGGATTTTATTGCACAGCTATCTGTTTGTCAAAGCCATGCATTGACCTATTTTGATTTCTCAACCAACTGTGACCTATTGATCATTGTGAAGGGGATTGTGCATACTAATCAAAATGGACACAAACTGTTAAATGATAACAAACATAAGCATCACTCTATTTAGTATTTACTGAGCACAGATTACTTAGCAGGCACTAAGCAAGAGTTATTTTCATATACCCTAAAATATGTTTAAGTGCTTTAAAAGTTGGCTATTATTTTAATTCACAAGTGTGTGTGCATGTGTGTGTGCATGTTGACAGTGGGAAGAATGGATAGTAAAATATACAACACATTCACCAGTTAAAATGCCAGAAGATTTATTCTGATTACAGGCTAAAATATCAGAAGATTTATTCAATTACATAGACATAATTTGCAAAGTATGTATCCTTCCTAGATTTATGATGCACATGTGGAATAATGCTTAAACAAGACCAATGCAAATAACATCTTAAATATTTTCCTGCTTCGTGAAAACGTCGGGTGCAACAATTAAGGACAAGTCACAGAGACACACTCCTGTTAACAAAAGTGATGTGTGGGCATGATTCCACTGCTTTAGCCCCCTTTCCTAAGTTTGCTGCATAACCTTTCCTGACTGCTTTTGTTGCTTCAGGAAAATGATGCCAGTCGGTCTCTAGATAACAGCTTTAAAGGCTACAGCGATGTGAATCCACATGGTGCGAACAGCAATGGCTGCAGCAGGATGGAAAAATCCTCCGGATACCTGAGACCCTCGCTTTGCATCTGCCTCCATCTGGGGTTTGCAGAAGAACCTTGCCCACTCCTCCTCATGACTAACGAGTGTATATAGTAAACTCTTTGAAATGTGAGTATTATGGGAAGGATCGCAGTTGCTTTAAATTATAGAAGTTGGCAAGTGCCTGGGAGAAGGAGTGGGAGGCTGCTTAAACTGAGAAAGACGGTCGCAGAACTTCTTCCGACAGCATGAGCTCCGAGCTTCACACATCCTCTACTTTTCACCAACATACTTCTCTGCATCGTTGCGGAGCAGCTTCAGTAGTAAACACGTTTCTGCTCTGAGTACTTTTTAATGCTTTCTAAATTCATGGGAGAACCAAGGCAAAGAAGTCTCATGTTTGGGGGAGAAGTCTGAACCCAGCAATGCCCAGGAAAGGTAAGCTATGGTTTTTACTACACTCTTTCTCTTAGACTTTATAAAAATATTTGCAGGAAGAACCACAGACAGTTACTTGTAAGGAGGTGGGGGGACCGTGTGGACAGAGTGTCAACAAATGATAAATCAGAGGTTGGAAAGTCTCAGGAGCGGTGTCTCCTACTTTCTATTCCGCTTGGTGTGGCAAGCAGCTTTGTATAGAATGCTGTGTCTCTTAGGAAAGGTGGGGGAGGGCTTCCCTGAAACCCCCAGACTTTGAGCACAGTGTCCAGTGGGCAGCAGGCTAATGTACAGTCAAGATCTCTGTGTCTGTACACAACTCACCTCCCAGAGCAGAGAGCCTTAGAACTCAGGAAGCCTTCTCGTAGATTGTAGTAACACTGCAAAATGTCTCTCAGTCCTGGTTACTGTGACTTACTGTTTTATGGAATACATTTTCTACAGTTAAAGAAATCATGTGGCTGTTTCTTGTAAGAACCTGGGAATATATTACTAATATTAACTTTATCTCCCTGGCGTGGAAAAAATAAACAAAACAGTTGAACATGACAGGACAATTTTTAGCTGAAGTCAACGTCGGCTGAGGGTGCTGTCATCTGCGTAGGGTGACTGACTTGTCAACTGCTGCCTTCAGAAAGCTCTTGTTGGGTTTGTTTGTTTGTTTTTCCATGTTTTGATTTGCTGAGAAGCATCCTGGGGTGGAGGGTTATGAATATTTCGTGCATCCTTCTATTTCCCGGAGAAACACTCTGTTGTCAGTGAGTTCCTGTTTTTTCCAAGGCAGAATTCCAGGTGCAGCCCTCTCCCCCACCCCCCTAGCCTCACCCCAGATATCCACTGAGATCAGAAGATGGATCCAGTGGGCTAAAATCTTTAGCAGAGCCCTGCATTCATTGTTCCATGTGCTCAGATATGTATGTGCTTTCAGGCAGAGGTTAAAGCACTGTGGGTTTGATTGAGCTGAGGTGGTTGGAACATGGAGGTATCCTCAGTCTGCGAGAAATATTAGCAACCAAGGTAGTTAGGACTGGGAGGGAATGGGAGCGATTGCCGAAGTCACTAAGCTAAGAAAGCCTCTACCTTCTTGTTATTTTTTTCCTTCCCTGTCAAAGTCTAGTTACATAACGAGGATTGCTCTGACTTCCCTTGCCTTGGGGTCTTGTTGATTAAGGTCAGAGTAAAGTCATTACTGTATAAAAGCAAGGAGGTGACTCTATTAGCTCCTGGCAAGGTGGTCGAGGAACACCATTTGTTAGCTACCTCCCTTTACCCATTACTGCAAATGGGGTAAGTAGCTCACGGCTGCCAATCCATAGACTTCTCTATTCTGTATCTTTCCTGCTTTCTTTTTCTTCCTCTACGCTACCTATGTCAGCCTACAGACCACTACCAGGGAGCAGAAGGCAGGCAAATCTCTCACCTCCGCCTCCTTCCCAGTCCTTTGGGCCCACCCCTGGACAGTAGAGGAAGCCCCCACCCTATCTGGAGGGGGTCCCCAGTACCCCACCCATGACCTCATCTCAGGCAGCTAGAGAGCTGGATAGCCAATGCTTACATGGCGCCTGAGTGGGCCCTGGGGATGGGTGCGGCCTAAAAATGCGCCGTATGGCATGACGTGCTCTCCCATCATGGGCTCCCACAGAGGCTGGCGGCATCTCTGGAAGCCAAACTTGCCAGGTCCCACCCCAGAGTCCTAGAAGCACACACACACCACACTCTCCTGTACCCTCCCCCCCCCCCACACACACACATACACTGTGAAGATGAAAACAGAAGCAATAAGGGTTGCTAACAAAAATCCCCAAGCCAGCTGACTTATCCGAGATTCAGCCACATAGGATTTGTAATGAAATATGGACATGGCCCTGAAAGCAACCTGTCAGGGCTGTCTCCAAAAGGGTCTTCATGAGACAGACCCGAGGTGAACTAATTGTGAGCTTGCTACAGTAGCTGGGAGATAGAAGCAGCCTCTTCCAGGAATGATGAGAGGAGAATGTTGACTACTCAGCTGCCAGTAGGGCAGTGGCTACCTGTCTGACCTGCTTTTGTGTGAACCAGGCTTAGCCAAGTTTGTGAGATATAGAATCTGCCTGAAGTCCAGACTTGACAAGCCAGGCTTAAGGGTCAAAAGTCCAAGGGCTAGAGAAGGAACTCCATCTTGTTCAACAAGTCTTCCTTGAGGGTCTACCGTGTGCCCGGCACTTCAGTAATGTGCTTTATAAGGAATGGTAGCAATAACAGCAATGATGGCAACGTAAGAACACCAAGTAATGCCGGTACCACAGCCTGCTTCAGTCTGAGACGTTCCAAGACAGCAACCATTGAACTAGCCTTCGAGGCTGAGCCATGAGAAAAGCCAAATGAGGGCACCCTGGCATACAGGTGTAAAAAACACCTCAGCTCTCCGACGGGAAGATATTTGGGTGGTAAATCTGTTTCCTTCCCAAAGTGAGTTCCAAGGCAACTGGCTTCGTGGCTATTAGTCAGAGGAGAGTTCTATGTATGGCTTGGTCAGGCAACTTTGGGAATGTGGAAAGCTACACCACAGTGACGCAAGGCATTTGGTTCCAACTTTGTAGATGTCTGGCATCAAATCCCAGCCTTTGCCCTGATGTATGAGTGTGGACCCATTCAAATGTCAGGGTTTTCGTCCCTTAGATGAGAATAGCAAGTATATCCATCTTCTGAGGGTGTTCTGAGGATTGTCTTAGAGAGTCTGTGTGAGGGCCTTTCTCAGAGTGCCTGCTGTGACAGCTTGATAATGTCAGCAGTCATCAGCAATTCAGAGCTGGTTTGACTGCAAGACCTCTTCCCATTTTAGCTGGTGAATGTGTCCTCTGGCTCTCCATGAGTGGGATCATTGGAACCTAATGTTTTCCAAAGTCATTACACCAAGAAGCTTTTGGGGGGGTCTTTTTTGAGGAGAAAAAAAATGCATGTTGAGAAACAAGTGAGCTGTGAACAAATATCCTAAAGTTGTATAAGGTTTCCCAAGGCTTAATAGAAATATACCAGTTCTCGCTGGCTACTTCACAAACTACCCTATCTCTGGAAGCCCAGATGAGATTCTCATGTCCAAGAAAACGGAGTTATAAAATCCATCTTCAACTTTTAAATGGAAAGGGGGCAGAAAACTAAAAAAAAATAGTTGTCAGTGGGTAAACACTGGAAAAGACAGTTTCCACCTACTGGCCAAGGACCCAAGTGAGCAGAGGGTCCATGCTAAGTCAGCAGGAACTATCTCCCTTCCAGAGACTTCTAAAGAGAGGGAATAAAATGTGTACTAAGATCTGAAATACAAATTTCAATCATTGTAATATGGAATGTAAGAGAGACTCCAAGAAGAAGAAGAAGAAAACCAGATAATCAGAATAGCCAGCCACATTCCTTAATGATGGACATGTACAAAGAATCCCAGTCCATCATTCACAATATGGCTAGCCCATTCCTAATGTCTGCCCCTCAGGTGAAAGCAGATGACTCATCCCACAAATGAGAAAACTGAGCCAGAGGAACTCAGAAAACTCCCTAATCTTTCAGAGCCTACGTGCCAAAGGGGGGTGTCTCAAACTGAAGTACATCTGATGCCTTGGCCCTAGCCAGGAAAGATTCCTCAAATTAGGGAACATGTAATATGATCCTTAAAGGACGAGGACTGGTGGGTGGGGAATTCCAGGCAGAGAGGACAGGCCTAAGGAGTAGAGGGGAGAATTGAGGAGTGGCCAAAGGGCAGCCCTGACAATAAAATATAGCCACAGAGAACTGAAGAAGGTCAGACACTGCTGCAACTCCTAAAAGCCTTGATGTCCTTCATGGAATAACCATTGAATGTCTGTAAACAAGGCAGCAAAATGATGAGAACAGACAGAAAGCCATGCTAGAAGGCTAGGTGTGTCCAGGAGAGACACGAGGCGCTGGAGCTCCAGCAGAAGTTATGGGGAGAAAGGGTACAGAGTCTTTGAGATAGCAGCCCTCAGGCCTCACCAGATCCACATTCCACATTTGAGAGGCCTCCTTCTCAAAGCCAGTGAGACGGGAGGGGCTGGCTGAGCCAGAAGAGCCCTCCCAGTCCACACTTAGGAAGATAGCATTCTAAGCACTTTAATGGAAATCATTGACTATATTGTTCCCAGTTCCATCACTGGGTTCCAGACTTTTAGCTCATATCAAGCAGGAACATTTCCAAAACAACCTTTGGATCTACAAAAGTTTTATGAGTTTACATAATCATGGTATTGGCATGCAATGGCGATGGTGGTGGGGTATTTTAATATATCCCTTCCGGAGGGACTTAAGTCCCTCTTCCTGGCTGTCTGCCTTTTGTAAAAATAAATTCCCCTGTGTCTGAGAACTCTGACTGCAGCTTGGATCACATTCTCGGAGTTTTTTGAACGGTATCCCTCCTGGGGGTGCTTTCGGAGCCTATGCAACACCCCAGGTGATGGCATTCAGAGATCAGGAATTAATTCCCCTTGATTCCCCAATGCCTTACAAATAGAGCAGGCCTGGACCTTAAATTTACCTCAAGCAGAGGGAGGGCTGCAAGAAATGTCACATTCCCATCCTCTCTTTAATTCACCTGAAGTCCGATTCTAAGAATCCACGCCAGCAGGATTTGGGCTTTAGAAATTATTGGTGCTGCCAGCACTTCGATCAGACAAAGATGTCAGGAAAACCTTGTTCACACCCGTTACACCAGGCCTTGTCCACTCCATGACCCTTCAGGGCTTTGGATTATACTTCCAACCCCTGGCTACGCACTGGGGATGGCTGAAAAGATGGCTGAGCCCCACGTCTGAGCAGCCCTGGTCTCTGAGATATGACAAGCCCTGCTGGATAGACACATTGATTTCTCCTTGATTCTTCAGCCCAAGTCTGCCAGGTCTGGAAAAACCTCTCATCAAACGCCCTTCATCTTCCCCTCCCTCACGTACACATTGAAGCTAGGGACCTCTTTTAAATGATTTTGTTGTTGTTGTTGTCAATTTTTTTTTGTTTTG